AGATAGATAGATAGATAGATAGATAGATAGATAAATAGATAGATAAATAGATAGATAGATATACCGTAATTGTTATCTATTACAATGTTTTGCTTACTATTACTAATATTACAAACTATTGCGTAATCAATTGTTGTTGGCATTGATAATAATAATAATTATTATTATTATAATAGTTGGTAAGATCTATAAATCGTTGTAAACTATTAACTCAGTATATCATTGGTGTTGCTATAGGCGAGGTGTGGGACTTCCGGCTAAAGATTTCTCAGGCACGAGCGATCCTTATGTGAAGATACTGTTGCTTCCGGACCGGAAGACAAAGATGGAGACATCGGTGAAGAGGAGGTGTTTGAACCCCTACTGGAACGAAACATTTTGTTTTGAAGGTATTCACTTTCTTAATATTTATTAATAGTAATAATAATAGTAATAGTAATAATAATAGTGATAGTAATAGTAATAGTAATAGTAATAGTAATAGTAATAGTAATAGTAATAGTAATAGTAATAGTAATAGTAATAGTAATAGTAATAGTAATAGTAATAGTAATAGTAATAGTAATAGTAATAGTAATAGTAATAGTAATAGTAATAGTAATAGTAATAGTAATAGTAATAGTAATAGTAATAGTAATAGTAATAGTAATAGTAATAGTAATAGTAATAGTAATAGTAATAGTAATAGTAATAGTAATAGTAATAGTAATAGTAATAGAATAATAATTGATCTATTATTATTCACTCCTGGTGTGCACTCACATTTCGGCGGTTCCGTGACCGACGTACGCCCAGACCGCCGCTCCCCTCAGGCTGATCAGCATGTGGTCTATGTTGACTCAGCCATCGCCGTTGTAGGAGAATATCGTGGGATAGGGCGCGCCGGTTGCCGTAGAACGAATCCAGACGCACGCCGACATTGCGGATAGGTTCGGCCACGTCATTTTCTTCTTATAGTAGTTTGCGACGCTACGCGTGGGAAAGTTCAGCTCGAAGCATTCGACTGTAAACGTGATTTCGTCAAGGAAGAAACGTTAGGCAAAAAATAAAGATTTCGCAACTAATT